GCTTGATACTAAGTTTCTTTTAAAATAATTGAAGCAATCAAGTTTACCAAAGGTCCTTAACAATGTCTAACATTATTCTGAATTACCTGTACAATTAATGCATGTATTTTTTGTGTACTCTTCCAGTTGGGCCAACTGGTAAAAAAGTTGCCAAATCTATCCCAGAGGAAACAGTCCAGCTTGTGCCATCTTTTATTTATTCAGTTGGATATCATTCAATTTTAGTTGGTTAGCATTTTGTTTCGGCTGTAACCACTTATATATAGTTCATTAAATCTTTCTGTCAATCAAATCCCCTATTCTGATTGGTTGATTTATCCAAGCAAAACATAATTCCTTTCTAACTTTCATTCTTTAAAATAAGGTATTTCTTGGTGTGCAAATTTTATTTTAGAAGTCTTAGTGTCTACCTGTTTTGGTAAATATGTACCTTGTAGTAGGATATCATACATCGTGAAGTCTGCTATTCTAGCTGAGACTACCCCCCCCCCCCCCCCCCCCCCCAAAAAAAAAGCAATTTATCACAATATCCTTTATATTATAATTAGTGTTTCCCTGCACAAAATCATTACTGGATTTGGTGTGAAGTTATCAATTGTACTTGAAAAATAAAGTGATTTCATCTACAGCATTTAACGAAAGGTCATTTGAAGACGTGCCTCCATGTGTGTTATGTGTGCGTGCATGTGTGTATGTATACTGGAGGCAGGGTATGGTGGTGTAAATGCCTTCTCGTGATAGCACGGATCTCATGCCGACTTTATAGTTCTATCTCACTGAAATACCATGCCGAAGGCAACCAGCACAGCATCCAATCACTTAATACTGACAATGAGTTAACCAGTTGATGCCATTACTCTAAATGCTGAACATTAGGCAGGGAATTTTAAGGACTTTCGTATGTCACAGTCTGGGGACAGAACCTACCGCCTTCCTCACCTGGGGGAATATTCAACATTACAGCCAAAAGTGAGGTATTACCAAGCAAGGCTCTAGGAAATAAAAGTTAGTTAGAAATAGAGAGAAGTAATTCTACAACATGGCAAACATATGTATATATATATCCATTACATAGGTCAGGACTCCAGACATGCAAGGTAAGGAGGTCTATTTCTGGAAGGAACTCTATAACTGTCGTGACATTTGTCAAAATGTCACAGGCTACAGACAGTCACCAGTTGTGTGAGGGGATTCCAGGCAAAGACCCTTTAGGAAGTGGCAGGACAAACAGGGTCATGAGAATGAAGACATGTCCCCCACCCTCTTGCACACAAGACATGTACACATTCTACAGGATAGGAAACCATTCCTCTGACACTGTAGTCCCCCTATATAGCTACATTGTAGTGGAACAGCCCCCTCCCTGACAACAGAGGTCCCCTTCCCTGACAACAGAGGTCTCCTTCCCTGACAACATAGGTCCCCTTCTCTGACAACAGAGGTCCTCTTCCCTGACAACATAGGTTCCCTTCCCTGACAACAGAGGTCCCCTTCCCTGACAACAGAGGTTCCTTTCCCTGACAACAGATGTCCCCTTGCCTAACAACAGAGGTTCCTTTCCCTGACAACAGATGTCCCCTTCCCTAACAACAGAGGTCCTCCTCACACAATGCTATAGACTACCATCAGTTGCCCCGGTAATGCCTGATAGAAATGGCTCCATTCAATCACGTCAATCAGCTCCATTAGAAGTGGTTGGAGAAGGGAGGTGAAGTGTCCAAATTTGGTCAACAGACCTAGTTAATTTAAGGCACAAATCAATTCCTATGTGTTAAACGAACAGTGAGAGTTGCATTCACAGTAAAATCAATAACACCCTCCATGTCAACGAGGAAAGGGGGACATCTGTAGAAGTCCATCTGTATATGTCTCATCCCTCAGCCATCAGTGAAAAGCTTTACTTAAACTTCTGTCAAAATTAAAGAAACCTTCTAGCATTAACTCACCACCCCTGAAACTTCATAATGAACTCTTCCAATTCAAAGGTTGGAATAGTTCATTATGAAGTTTCAGGGGTGAATGATTTAAGAATATAATGATAATCAACTCTAAGTAATTGAAAGTATCCCACTTCAACCTTATAACAAATAATGTGTAAAGCTTGACAAAACGCCCTAAAGGTTTTGTCATATAGAACCATGGGTTGAATTGAACACTGTGTAGGAATGGTTGTCAAAGGGGCAAGATTTCTCAATCTGCAGCATACATGATTTTATATTGTCAGAGCTGCTGCAATCTACAAATAGTTTATATGCTGTCTTTCAAAAGAAGGTTACGCAAAAGATTGCTGCTTTAATTAGTCCACATTGGCTGGTTATAATGGTTATACTTAAAATTAAATATAATCTCACAATTTATAGATCATTATATCTATCCAATTAGCAGACAACACTTATTTCTTTTCATTTCAATAGCAATGGTGATAAAACAAATATGTCGTAAATTCTGAAGCCTTTCATTGATTCATGCCGACATGGCCTTGCATCAGATTTTATTTTGTTTGCGCGATATAGTGTTTCATCCTCCCGCCCCAATATATTTCATGCATAAGTATGGCCGAATCCTCGGGGAGACTTATCATGCTTGTCTTCTAAAAACTCATCTCACTAAACAGTATGATTTTATTTACATCCAACAGCGTGAGTACACACACAGGCATCACAAGGAGATGGCAATTATCACAAAACGAAACTTGTCTTGTGATTTATCATACAAATGGCTCTATCCGATGTTAAAACTTTAAATTTGATTTACGAACATGTTGAATGGCCAGAGGTCTTTAATATAGACACAAGTATTCCGTCTGCATCTATAATCATTACCGTTCAATGAACGATACTTGGCTTTTTATTCTGATTCGCGACCAGCCCTGCGGCACCCTTTACACACAGTCAGATGACACGCTGATTGTGAAATGGCGGAATACAACATATTGCTTCAGTAATCTAGTTTCACAAACTCGCAGAAATCATGCCCAAAGCAATTTGTCAAAATGGCAGAGAATATGCTAGCTAGCGCACTGACAAAGCCTTTATGGAGTTATTACTTGTCCACAAAAATTACATGTTTTAAGGCGAATACAAATGTAATAGACCTATTCCATAGAACAGGTTACACTCGGTTCTGTTTTCTGCCAACTTTCATCATGGTGTCTTATTAACAGACAATGTCTCAACAATATGTAAAGTTTGTTACAGATGTACAGTTAACAGGATGCTGACAGCTACAGAATAGTGTATATTATATGTTATAAAAGCTCTTTATGTAAAGTTACCATATCTACAGTAGCTCAGACTATTCATTAATACCCGGCTTGGACTTTAAAATTGTCCACTCACCCCACTTTGAAAAAAAATATTACCAACCAAACGAGAGAAAAAAAAAAGAAAAAAAAATGACAAATGCACATTATTTTGAGATGACGTAAAATTGACTATTCGTTAAAATACCAAATACGAAATTAATATAATGAAACTGGTGCCACAATCTTAATTTATTTTTCAAGCCCCAAAGTGTTATTTTTCTTGCAAAAGAATTTCAACTGAATCACCAAAATTTTGTAACGGGTTAATTTGTCATACATAACAATTCAGTAAGTGGGATAATTTTAACATAACAGTGTAAGATATAGACAAATCCTTCACCAGATTTAATGCAACAAAGACGGAGGTACCTACTAATACAGCTGTATTGATTACAGCATTTCACTTCAAACATTTTACATATTAGAATTTATTCAAACAGTAACAGATTAATTTCTACAGGGACTCAATTGATACAAACAGTAATAATGAAAGACACAAAATTAAATGTGCTTTTATTGAAATAATAATAGATGAAAATAATTTTCTTAAACAGTTTTGGAAACAGAGAAAATAAAAATATTGCTGTGATTGAAACTGTTGATATTATGTAACAATGACCAACTATATCTTGTAACATATCATATTATATCAGTTCCTAGCTAAAAATGTTTCATACAAAATATAGTGGATTGAAGCAGAAGTGTTTCCATTTTACTACAACCACACGTTGCTAAGCAACAGATATTTATTCAGGTGTACCCACAAAGTGATGCATGAATCCATTAAGGAAAAAATAGCAAAAACTATCTCAAATGTCTCAAATATGACACAAGATACTGATGCTTCTCGTATGCAACATCTTGGTCTTTTTTGGTTATAAAGTAAATAATTCAGAGCACTCATAGATGGATAGATATCTTCAATCACAGATGTAAAATATTCATAAGCTCTGCGGTAGATCTTCCACAGATCGACCATCTCAATGGTAGCCGCAAGCTCATGGCACTAACGGCAAAGCTGAAAACTCAAAGGACGATGTGCTAAATTTGTTTCAAAACCTTCATGGCTAATTTTTCCTTTTTAACTCGATTATGAATGACATATTTTTATGAAATAATACGAAAGAGGCAAATAATAAATTAATTAGAAAGGAACCTTTATTTTGATAACATTTCTTATTAATTTCAATCAATCAAATTTAATTCAACTTGCATGTGCTGTACGTCACTTAATAAAAACTGGTTCAATTAGGGTTATTTTGAAGTTTCTTTTAAAGTTATATGAGATGATATTTGGTGAAGTTTGAAATGAAAATATAACTGAAATATTTATTACACAGACCACCTTTGATAGAATATGAAATCAAATGACTTTAAAACTCTACTATAATACAGTAAAACAAAATAACACAGAAATCTGGTGATTTACTTTAGAAATGTGATATTTTCAAAATACAACAAAATGAAACCAATTCATCCCTTAGAAAGCACTGTCTGCTTCAGACAGGAACTTACAAGTGTTTAAATGACTATGATATGGCGGTGACTGCAACACAGACTGAAGCTAACAAGACTCTTCTATTTGGTTGATTAATGTTGTATGGCTCAGTCTGTTTCAGACACAGGCTTGTATCAGCATGCTTACAGTAATTATTTACAAGTACTAAGATGACCCAGATGTGGCCATGACACGTACCTCGATGCTTGTTGTTGGGATTTCCGGCCGGGAGTATGAAGTTAATGGACGACCGTAGTCCGCGGTAGATCACATATCGCACGTCACTTTCTTCCAAGTTGTAACTCACTTCGTACCAAAGTGGCAAATGCTAGCGAGATAAAGAAGAAAAACACAGAAAGATTAAATTTTAAATTTTAAATAGGCTGCCGTTTCAATTGAGCATCTTTATGATTCCGCAGCGAAGCATCATGGTATGATATACGAGTTTTGTAAGTCTAAAAAGGAGCAAAAGTGTGAGTGTATAATGTGTGACCCCAGTTATCGCCACGGTTACCTAACAAACCGCTGGCTTTAGTCAGTGTTATCTTGGAGGTGAACAGTACTCTCCGTACAGACCTGTTAAATTTGCCAGAACTCTAACGTGGCTACAATTGGTGTCTTCTCCGTCACGTTTCATCCTAAAGTGTCTACACTTTTTCCAGCTTGCTCACCAGTTTTCCGATGATTTGTGGAAGACAAGTCAGGTTTTTTAAAGTCAATGTACCAATTTGCTGCATTATTGTACGCAGTCAGCAGGAAGCTTAACTCCTAAGGTTAATAACAGGTAATTCCCCTATTTGTCTCATATACAATAATTTGGGGTGATTTAAATCCAGCATTGATATCAGTACATGATGTAACAAAATGCTGATGTCTTTGTACATACATGTACAGTTAATTAGCTAACAATGCTGCATATCATGTTGTGTAATTATCAAGAAGTCGGCTTTCAAAATTATCAGAGAATGTTTGCGTAAAAGTCAATTTAAAGGAACATGTCAAGAGATACATATGTTTTGAAAAGTCTTAGACAAACAGATGTAGGTGAAGTAACTTTCATTATAGTATGTTTAAAAAATATCTGAATGGTATCGTTAAAATTTAAGAAAATTTAAAGAGAAAACTGAAGGGGAGGGGGGTTATTTAGAACAGATGTACACACCTCCTCGACATCCCTCCACTCTTTACAGAAGATGGTGAACTCCGTGGACATCTCAAAGCCAGAGTCTGGTTTGACGCTACAGTCACCTTGGTGAGGACTCTGATTGACCTTGAACTGGGCCATCGCATGACCTTTAGTCGAGCCATCTGAAAAACAATAAAATGTAAAAATAAGCTTCTTTTTAGGAAAACAGTTTGAGAAAATATACTCATTAACAATTAAGCAGAAAAGTTCATCCCATAACAACTCACTGACTGAACTGTGACTTAGAGCTGGTCATATGACTCCATTGTGCAATTATACATGCATTAGTCTGACCTTGGTCTTGTGATTGACTGGCTAGCAGACTTGCCAAGTCATTGATGCGACCAACTGTGGTGACCAGGACTGGCCAGATTATGTGACTGACGGCAGTGACTTTTTTAGCACTGGCCTGGGTCACAAGACTTAAAACAATGACTAAAACCAGTCTGGTCATTGACTGATTGCAGTGACCTGAAGATGGGACCCAGACAAGTGACTGAAACCTGTCTGGTCATGTGACTGACTGAAGTCACTAGGACTGGCCTATGTCATGTGACTGACTCAAGTCACTAGGACTGGCCTAGGTCATGTGACTGACTCCAGTCACTAGGACTGGCCTAGGTCACATGACTGCTACAAGCAACTAGGACTGGCTTAAGTCATGTGGCTGCTAAAAGTGACTTGAGACTGACCTAGGTCATGTGACTGCTACAAGCAACTAGGACTGGCCTGGGTCACATGGCTGCTAAAAGTGACTTGAGACTGGCCTAGGTCATGAGACTGCTTAAAGTGACTAAGACTGGTCTGGTCATGTGATTGCTACAAGCAACTAGGACTGGCCTGGGTCATGTGGCTGCTAAAAGTGACTGAGACTAGCCTAGGTCATGTGACTGCTTAAAGTGACTAAGACTGGTCTGGTCATGTGACTGATTAAAGTGACTAGGACTCGCATAGGTCATGTGACCACCACTGCTGGTTGTTGAAGTCAGAGTTGGAGCCATGGAGGCCTCCAAGGTTTATCAACTTACCTTCTGATATGATAATCCAAACGCTTCCATATCAGCAGTAATCAATATTGATGTTAAACAATCTCCTGTCTTTCTGCAATCTATAAACATTGCCGGAGATGAAAGCATATTGAGAAACCCACGACCATCATTTAATTAAGCCTTGTCTACACCCCACTCCCATCACTCCACTCAAAAGCACTCTTGGGCTTTGCACAGATTTAAACCATGTCTGTTCACATGTTCGGGAGACTTGTTATTGATGGCTAATGACAGCCCCTGAGTAAGCAGTATAAAAGCCCACCACATGAGTGTTATTTTTTTTCATTACATATTCGATGAAAGGAATAAGATCAAACATAATGTATTTTAGACCAAAAAAGACAAAGCCCATGAAAATTCTTGCTATCAAATCAGTCTTGGGACGCAGCTGATGCTGTCTGCCCAATACGGTTCTGAGGATTATGAGCATGGACCGATGATGCAGCACCGTGGCCGCCATGCTTACGATAGGTGTTGTGCTTATTTAGTCTGCAGTCTCTCATGATATCAACTCATTCGTGAAAAACACATTTAAGCCCCACAAAAGGAAATGGAATATGGACGAAATGAGGGTCTAATTCTATTAAATATTGGAGGGAAATGAACAATTGTATGGCTCAAGTTTTACAAGGTACTAAAACCTGTGTAAAAATTGTAATATGTTCATAAAAGACATAGTCGGCGGTCGTAAAACTGTGTGTGCTGAATCGTAGAATGAGAAATGGCTGTACCACAAGCAATACATCAAAGCGTGTATGTATCTGCGGTATACAACCTCCGCATTCCCATCTTCTTACGGTTTACATCATTGGCATCGCAATTGACAACAATAAAGTGACAAGTATATGTCGTAATCTAATCATGTGTTACTGTCCTATAGCAGGTACCCTTTAACCATGGAGCTCGGCTAACGTTTTACTAGCTCCACTAAAAATTACAATTGACTGATGATGATGATGATGCATTTGTGCCAGAATTTTATTATCTCTAGTTTTATCTTCATTGACTTTCTTAAATAACACATTTGTTTCCAATAAAAAAAATCTAAGGAATTAAAATAGCAATAAAACAAATTTCTCCTCTATCATATTTATTTGGTTTTGATGAAAATGACTAATCAAATTTCTTAAAGGATTTCATTAAACTTGGTATCACAGTGGGATATTAGTGCCCACCATTTAAAGACCAAACTTTTGTTTGTATGTAGGTTACTTTCCCTTCACATGTTTGGTCTCTCTGAAAAGGGATCATGCAAACCAAGACACAACCTGATCTTTACAGGGCTTCTTGGCACAATTTCCTGAGCAATCTTCAGTAAGAGTAAGTACAACTACAGACAACAGAGATCACACATCCAAGTTTCAATATTACCCACTTTAGAAGTAGCAGTAGCAAACTTAAAATGCAATATCCAGGATGGCTTTGTTGTCATTTTGTTTTTCTGAATCAGCCCCACTACATATTTAAACTGGACTTGCCCTGTCTTTGATTTGGTAAGGTTCAAATGTGACTTTAGGGGTGAATGGGTTAATAGGAATTCCAACAATCCATTTATACCTTTAATGTTTCCTGTGTATACTTGCATTATATGTACAGTAGACATCACCAGAAAACAATAATTTGAACTTTAATTTTTTCCATTTTGATATCATATTACAACTTTGTAAAGGTGTTTCCTTACCAACAGAAGGAGCTTTCGAAAAATAATGTCTCGGACAATATCATGAGATTCCTGGATAGGAGACATATTCCTATTTTCAGTAAGTGGTTAAATATCCTTCAGGTTTCTATGACATAAGATTTTCTCATCACAAGAATATCAAGTTAATATCCATGGCAATCAGTCCATCGCTACATTTCTGATCCATTTATTTTTGCATAGACCCCCCTGGGCTAATTACTGGTCAAATATGGTAGTATGCAACATTTTACACAAATATTGGCAATGAGAAATATTTCTTTTAGTTGGTTTATCTGATTTAAAAACACACAACGACTGTTTGACCCGATCACTAACCTTCAATACAGCTGACAATGTCGTATAACTGTACGACATAGCCATGACACAACTGTGAACGCATTTCAAATTTGTCATGTGTTTGTCATGCAACAGCCGGACCATAAATAAAGAGTGTTAAATTTGTTTCAGGTGCGTTGGATGGTTCTTGTGAGAACAAAACACAGCCACCGACTGTATGAGTCAGTAGCGTCCATTGTGTAACAACCATACGTGTACAGTAATATACACGTAAACCTAAGTTATTTGTAAGTCTGCTGTTACATACTTAAAAATATAGCCGTCTAAGACAGAGATGGATCGCCACACTTAAAAATATTGAACAAAATACATTTACATTGTTCAATCACATCTCCGTATAATCAGTAAAGTAATCTATAATTAATTTGACTTTTCATCGAAATTATTTCTTCAATTAAAAGCAAATTTTCTCCTTGCTTAATTTCTCATTAAAGAATGTGCTGATAATCTTTGATGAAGCATCAGAATAGTATTTTTGTTGAAGGCAATGTACTGTTAAAGTTTTAAAGAAAGAAAAAAGAATGACGTCAGAATATTTTTTCTACATATGGTCAGGTTTAAATGTGACTTTAGGGGTGAAAATTGAGGCAAAATCAGTACTTGGCACAAATGAGATCCCATTTGTAAATTCTTTTAGAAACGGAAGGATGGGATTTATATTGAACATGGACTATATGATAAGGTCCAGAATGTTATTAAAGGAAGAACTGTTCTTTGTCTTTGATTTGGTAAGGTTAAACTGGGACTTTAGAGGTGAAATGGTTAAAACAGTCAACACATTGACAAATATCTGAAAATCCTCACATAAGCATCCTGTCAACGTTCAAGACAACATGCATGTCAACAGATCAGACAACACTGATGTCAAACAAAAACACAACGCTCCTGTCAACAACCTTGGCTTATCGGATTATCGGCATTGCATGGTAGATTTTTTTGTAGACCCAATCAACATGTTCTGCATCTGCCAGCCAACGTTACAGTCAATATGCTGACCACATTGGTCAAACATTCATTCAACATGTCAGTTCAATCACGTACTGGTCAACACAAGTCTGTCAACATGCTTGTCAAAACGCTGACCAATCAATTACCACATCAGTCATATAACAATGAATATGCCAGTCCATAGATTGGTCAAATCTTCAATATAAAATGCCAGCCAACAACTTGTCAGCATAATACTAAGGCCATTTTTTTTTTTATATATATATTTCAGGCAACAGGACTGAAAAAAATATGGCAGGTAGAAAGAGAATTTCAAAAATCACCAATCATAGTTTTTCAGATAATAATATGGGGTCTAAATTTGGTTTTAATACCTGCTTATGAAAAAGCGTAGCATCATAAAGATGCCTACAATTTTCGGCATATTTGAATAGGATGTGTAAGTGTATTCAAGTTAGATAAAATTGGTAAGGGCGAAGGTTAAAAGCTGGGTCAGTCAGGCTACCTGAAACATACCTATCTTGGTGTCGGTCAACAGTGTGAGTGTCGACAAGTATACCTCACTTGGTGTCGGTCAACATTGTGAGTGTCGACAAGTATACCTAACGTGGTGTCGGTCAACATTGTGAGTGTCGACAAGTATACCTAACTTGGTGTCGGTCAACATTGTGAGTGTCAACAAGTATAACTAACTTGGTGTCGGTCAACAGTGTGAGTGTCGACAAGTATACCTAACTTAGTGTTGGTCAACAGTGTGAGTGTCGACAAGTATACCTAACTTGGTGTCGGTCAACAGTGTGAGTGTCGACAAGTATCCCTAACTTAGTGTTGGTCAACAGTGTGAGTGTCGACAAGTATACCTAACTTGGTGTCGGTCAACATTGTGAGTGTCGACAAGTATACCTAACTTGGTGTCGGTCAACATTATGGTCAAAACTTACCTTTTGTTGTGGCTCTAACATGCATGATGTAGGTACTGCCTTGTTGGATGGCTTCATTGTTTGGTTTTAAGACAAGTGACCGTTTGTCCAGACCGGTCAGTGTGGCATTCCAGACCAACACCATTGGGTAGTGTGCGTGTTGTAGGATGTGTTTTTGCCTGGCAGGTTCACTGGAGCCTTCAGGATCACTGATCACCGGATCTCCCTCATTTTCCGTCGGATTTTCTGAGGAAAACAGAATCAGATGGCAGCAAATCACACTATGTGCTTTCGGAAGTTGGGTTTTTCATCCAAAATACTGTCACAAAGTTAAAACTATCCAGTCAAATGAAGAACATTTTTTTTTGTTGGCTGTAATATTTCTTGAACTACACTTAACAAATACTACACCAGGTGTAGTATTTGTTAAGTATAGCGCCCCTCGGCAGAGGCCCTACAGCCCCTCGGCAGAGGCCCTACAGCCTCTGGCTGGGTCTGCAGCCCAGTTCATATGACACCACCTGATATTCAAAAGGTACCTTCTGTTTAAAATGATAATTAAACCCCTGACACCTTATACATAATTTGGAGTTCAGCTAATTGAATATGTATGATGTATGATTGAGGGAAAAGATGAGTACAGTTAAACCTGCCTAAGCCACCACCTCTATTGAGAGACCACCTGCATTTTATAGGAGACCACTTTATATGTTCCCCATTGTAGTGAACTAGCTTATTGTGAACTGTATAAAAAGAGACCACCTGTGTAAGGTGACCACTGTTAACATACCCCACTATAGTGATTCATTAACTGAATCGGCATCAAGAGAGCACCTGTGTTAATAGACCACTGTTAACATAACCCACTATAGTGATTCATTAACTGAATCTGCATAAAGAGAGCACCTGTATTAATAGACCACTGTTAACATCCCCCACTATAGTGATTCATTAACTGAATCGGCATCAAGAGACCACCTGTATTAATAGACCACTGTTAACATTCCCCACTATAGTGATTCATTAACTGAATCGGCATCAAGAGAGCACCTGTGTTAATAGACCACTGTTAACATACCCCACCATAGTGATTCATTAACTGAATCTGCATCAAGAGAGCACCTGTATTAATAGACCACTGTTAACATCCCCCACTATAGTGATTCATTAACTGAATCTGCATAAAGAGAGCACCTGTATTAATAGACCACTGTTAACATCCCCCACTATAGTGATTCATTAACTGAATCGGCATAAAGAGACCGCCTGTGTAAGGAGACCACTGTTAACATCCCCCACTATAGTGATTCATTAACTGAATCTGCATCAAGAGAGCACCTGTGTTAATAGACCACTGTTAACATAACCCACTATAGTGATTCATTAACTGAATCTGCATAAAGAGAGCTCCTGTATTAATAGACCACTGTTAACATACCCCACTATAGTGATTCATTAACTGAATCGGCATCAAGAGACCGCCTGTGTAAGGAGACCTCTGTTAACATACCCCACTATAGTGATTCATTAACTGAATCTGCATAAAGAGAGCTCCTGTATTAATAGACCACTGTTAACATACCCCACGATAGTGATTCATTAACTGAATCTGCATCAAGAGAGCACCTGTGTTAATAGACGACTGTTAACATACCCCACTATAGTGATTCATTAACTGAATCTGCATCAAGAGACCACCTGTGTTAATAGACCACTGTTAACATACCCCACTATAGTGATTCATTAACTGAATCTGCATCAAGAAACCGCATGTGTTAATAGACCACTGTTAACATACCCCACTATAGTGATTCATTAACTGAATCTGCATCAAGAGAGCACCTGTATTAATAGACCACTGTTAACATCCCCCACTATAGTGATTCATTAACTGAATCGGCATAAAGAGACCGCCTGTGTAAGGAGACCACTGTTAACATCCCCCACTATAGTGATTCATTAACTGAATCTGCATCAAGAGACCACCTGTGTTAATAGACCACTTTGAATGTTATCCAAAGTAGTGATTTCATTCATTATTAATTGACCCTGTGTTGAGAGACCACTGTTTGGACTTCCAAAGAGTGGTCTCTTACCAAAGGTTACACTGTGAACATTTAGTAAAACAGGCTCAAAAACGTTTGACATCATTACACTGCAGTAGATGACGTTTTATAAGTGGAACATTGAAATATTGACTAGTTTGTGTACTACCCCCGTAATTTCAATGCAGTCCAGGTATTACCATGATATAGAAACTAATAAATGACATCAGTGTGGTCAGTCAATGGACTAAATATTTTATATACGATGTACATTCAGGATGAAAATTTCAAGTCCATCTTGGCAGTAGCAGACAGTGGACACATGTAAGGTAGGAAGGATGGGACACAACGGAAGGTACCAACAGACTTCCTGAATATACGGTACCTTAGTCTTTCATGAAAAACAACAATATAAAGGCCAGTATGACATAGATACCTACCATTCTCATCCATACCAGGCTTTGGCCGATTGCCAGATGTTATATCTTCAAATATGTCGTTGTCATACGCTGTAACAGAGAGCAGTACACCATTGAAACAAAATCACAGTAACGCTAAAACAAGTGAAATGCATTGATCAAATTACTCAACGGTACACAGAAAAACAAAATCAATAAAAAACATCTAGATTTTTTCTATAAAAAAATATCTTCATTAAAATATTTTGATAACTTTTGAAAACAATATGATGAAAGAAAAAACACAAGATGGTGAACATGACATGAATTTACTTTTCTACTTTACAAGAACAACGATACTTCCATGATACTCTAAATTCAATCATGACACCCAAATCCTAGTCTTATTCAATCTTCATGACATTACACTTTTATGACAAAGCATATTCAATCATGACATATATATGGTACTTGTTATCTATTCTGGCTTGTGCTATATATAGTGCACAAAGACCTTGACCTTCTGAGCTACAATATATCACAGATACAGTTACAACCATGACCTTCCAAACTACAATGTATCAGAAGGCCAGTAACAACCTTGACCTTATGAACTACAACATATCACTGAAACAGTAACATCCTTGACCCTTTGAGCTACAATGCATCACTGAAAATTAACAAGTTTGACCTACCTGGGTTTCGGGCAATAGAGCTGCCCTCTTCTCCTGGGCTCCCCTCCTTTAATTCAAACATGTCGGTATGAGGCAGAGGTTTTCTACGTGAACTTTCTACTCTTGTGTTCTCCTCAATTATTGAATCTAAAATAACAACCAATACAAATTAAGATTCAATCAAGAATAGGAAACTTTCTTTGCTTCCTATATTCTCTGTATATAAACTCTTGTTGCAGTTGAAACCATAATGCCATTAACAAACTAGAAAATGTCTGGAATTCATCATCAATTTTCCTCTTCCATGCAAATTAGTGTCATTGCTTATAGACAGATTTCTATAAATAGTAGCAGTGACCTTGACATAGAGGTTGGAACTCTAAAATACAAACTCATTCAAGGTATTTCTACACTAAATCTTTGCATAAAGTTTGACCTAAATCAGCCATAAGATAAAGTTGCTAGATTTATGTCACTAAATCGGTTCACAAGATTGCTATACATAGAAACAGTGCATGACCTTGGCCTTTACCTTGGAATCCTGAAATACATCTGTTGAGGACATAATATATGTTATCAGAAGTGTGGAATTGAAGTAATTTGAAATTGATGCCTAACTTCATGGATAGATATCAATATCTTTGAATATTTCTAGAGTATATAAACAGTCATGCTCATAGATAAAATTCAAGTAATTTATGTAACCTAATAGTAGTCAGTGTAGCTGTATTCCAACCAAACATGTCACTAATCATTATAAGTATATAAGTCTATATAAAAGAAAGATAACTCTTACAACACATCTTAACAATGCTTTGGCCACAAAACCATTTCAGAAATAAATCAAAATATCTGCCAAAATTTTGGATGCAATTTACTTACTGTATAATCCAAAATCTTCTATAGGAGGGATATCGGCCGTATCCAAAATGTCATGACCCTGCTCAAGCTCAGGGTTATCGGCCATATCCAAAGTGTTGTGCCTGCTTTCCAGTCTACGGTTATCAGCTGTATCCAAAGTGTCATGACTATGGTCCATTTTGGGGATATCTGCTGTATCCAATGTATCATGCTGGCTTTCCATTTGGGGGATATCTGCTGTATCTAGTGTATAATGCTGGCTTTCCATTTGAGGGATATCCGCTGAATCTAATGTATTATGCCGGCTTTCCATTTGAGGGATGTCTGCCGAATCCAGTGTATTATGCTTGTGGTCCATATGAGGGATATCTGCTGTATCCAATGTATTATGCCGGCTTTCCATCCGAGGGATATCTTGTGTATCCAATGTATTATGCCTGTGGTCCATATGAGGGATATCTGCTGTATCCAATGTATTATGCCGGCTTTCCATTCGAGGGATATCTGCTGTTTCAAATGTACTATGCCTGCTGTCCATTTGAGGGATATCTGCTGTATCCAATGTATTATGCATGTGGTCCATATGAGGGATATCTGCTGTATCTAATGTATTATGCTGGCTTTCCATTCGAGGGATATCCGCTGTATCTAATGTATTATGGCTGTGGTCCATTCGAGGGATATCTGCTGTATCCAATGTATTATGCCTGTGGTCCATTCGAGGGATATCTGCTGTATCCAATGTATTATACCTGTGGTCCATTCGAGGGATATCTACTGTATCCAATGTATTATACCTGTGGTCCATTCGAGGGATATCTACTGTATCCAATGTATTATGCCTGCTGTCCATTCGAGGGATATCTGCTGTATCCAATGTATTATACCTGTGGTCCATTCGAGGGATATCTGCTATATCCAATGTATTATACCTGTGGTCCATTCGAGGGATATCTACTGCATCCAATGTATTATGCCTGCTTTCCATTTGAGGGATATCTGCTGTATCCAATGTATTATGGCTGTGCTCCATTCGAGGGATATCTACTGTATCCAATGTATTATGCCTGCTTTCCATTTGAGGGATATCTGCTGTATCCAATGTGTTATGGTTGTGGTCCATTCGAGGGATATCTGCTGTATCCAAAGTATTATGCCTGCTTTCCATTCGAGGTATATCCGCTGTATCCAATGTATTATGCCTGCTTTCCATTCGAGGGATATCCGCTGTATCTAATGTATTATGCCTGTGGTCCATTTGAGGGATATCTACTGTATCTAATGTATTATGCCTGTGGTCCATTTGAGGGATATCCGCTGTATCTAATGTATTATGCCTGTGGTCCATTTGAGGGATATCTACTGTATCTAATGTATTATGCCTGTGGTCCATTTGAGGGATATCCGCTGTATCTAATGTATTATGCCTGTGGTCCATTTGAGGGATATCTACTGTATCTAATGTATTATGCCTGTGGTCCATTTGAGGGATATCCGCTGTATCTAATGTATTATGCCTGTGGTCCATTTGAGGGATATCTACTGTATCTAATGTATTATGCCTGTGGTCCATTTGAGGGATATCCGCTGTATCTAATGTATTATGCCTGTGGTCCATTTGAGGGATATCTACTGTATCTAATGTATTATGCCTGTGGTCCATTTGAGGGATATCCGCTGTATCTAATGTATTATGCCTGTGGTCCATTCGGGGGATATCTGCTGTATCTAGTGTATCATGCTTGCTATCCATTCGAGGTCTATCTGCTATATTTCGTCTGCTGTGTCTTCCTTCTGTTTTGGGGACATCAGCTGAATCAAATTTTGCAGGATCATCATCTTTTTGGGGAGTATCTGCTGTTTCTAATATGTTATCTGATCCCCTCTGACGTCCGGATGTTGACCTACTTTCCTGAAATGTCATTGGAGGGGAGAAATCCTTTCCTCTCGATCTCCCTTAAACAAAGAACAAAAAATCTAGTTTTATATTTCCTAAATGAAACAAACTGTCTCAACATGTTCACTATGACAGGGTATGGGTATGGCTTCTCATTCAGGACAAATAAGCCTAAAAAGGTTGCTTAATTCCAATGAAACAATGCTGTCATAATAAAATACTGTTTAATTAAACTGAATATCATCTGTGACAAGTCTTCAGAAGCCAAACTGTTAATCTGACTTAAAAATGGCCTGTGAGGTCAAATTATTACTGTACTGTAAATACCCAAAGAATCCTGTGAGTGCTTCCTTATTAAAGAATAGGTCAGGATCTATTATTTTCACTAAGTGACCCTTTGCTGTGACTCTTGACCTTAGGTAGATATACAGCAAGATTTCTGTACTTTGCTGATTTTATAATGTGCTACATTTTGCCCTTACCTTCACTATGATCCTCGATAGGATAATACAGTCCCATAGGTTTAAGTGTTGTGGTACTGGATCCTCCCTGGCTCACTGGGGGAAAGTTTATAACATTTTATATAAAGGTAATAAAGAAAATATATATTAGATGACACACATTTTCCCTACATCCTCAATGGTTAGATCATAATCATGTGAAGGTGGGCGATTTGTGATATTGACTCGACGTTACTATTTTGAGAAACAGCAGGTCAATATTCAGTTTATGACATCATTTCAAGGGTAACGTCACAATGTTCTCTGCCAAATGCGGTACTTTTCTCAATATTTACATACATTCCATCAGGCTTAGTAGTTAAATTATTATTTAGCTCATCTAATATAACAACTGAAGACTTTATTTTGGTGTATATGTGGCGATATGAACCTGAGAAAGGGATATTGACCTCAACTCGTTTAATATCACTTTCTCAGGTCCATATCAGCACATATTCACCTCAACAAAAGTCCATAATTGATAAATATACAACATATAAATTATGTATCCAATATTTTGGGCAAACTACCAAGCAGATTGCAAAGTTTCAATTTATTTCTATATTTCCTGTATTATACTGAACAAGTAGCATTTAAACCCATTAATGTTCATTACGATTTATGGACAACAGTAAACAAAATTTTAGAATATCTGTTCGACAGTACCTCCATCAGTCCTGTGTGTATCGGCAGGAATCACTATAGCATTGTAACGGCTGGAGTCGACGTTGAACAGGAGCGTCTTGTTGCCATGCACCAGTTTGGAGATGTGTGTCTGACCAGCAATGGCGCATGTTCGGCTGAACTTGTCGTAGCGATGGTTTACGTTGCTCTGTCCAAGGTCAGGAACCATGTAAATGGTCCACTCATACTCAAGTTCGACAGGGTCACAGGTAGAGCACACCGCCTGAAAGGACAGTGACCAGTCCCAATTGACCAGAGATTGCTCACACTGTGGACAGTAGATGTTGAGTCTGGAAGAAATATTGAAATTCTAGATATGAAACTGGGCAGTTCCTTTTCTAATAATTTTGTGTCAAGGTTGAAATAAATTGCTCTAAAAACTGCGATTTTTGTTTGGAGCGCAGTTTTGTCAAAATCATTCATTTTCGATTCACACACAAACACTTTGCAAGGAATTTGTCTCCTTCTAGTTGGCATTCATAGTGACCATGAATGCCAACTAAAAGCAATTCAGTGCTTAAATCTGATACCTTGTTTTCTTGTTCAATGTATCATGCAGCCAAGCAATGCTCATCCAGTTGTAACAGGAGAAGAAAAATGCACGGCCAGACCGGGGTTCGAACCCGGGACCTTCCGAACTATAGACGGATGCTCTACCAATTGAGCTACCAGGTCGCCGACGATCGACCCAGTCCAGTTCCGCTACATTCCTCCCTCCTTTTTCTAAGTCTTCGCCCCCAAAGACACAACTAGTTACAACCCAGGTTTGGGTATCCCCTTGCCAAGCATACACCAAAAAAAATGCTTGAAACAAGGGTTGGTCACAGGCATCAATGTAACAGGAAAGGAAAATTGCACGGCCAGACCGGGGTTTGATCCCGGTACCATTCGAACTCTAGACGGATGCTCTACCAATTGAGCTACCTGGTCGCCGACATTCGACCCAGTCCAGTTCTGCACAGTCACCAATAATCTGCTTTTCTCAATATCCTGTCAAAGCATTTTGGGATAGATTTATTTTTTCAAAATTTGAAAATGGTCGAAACGAATGAAGATCAATTTCTCCTTTTTTCTCCAAGTGATACAATGTGTCTATTCTCAATCCTTGGAATATCCATATTCAACAAAATTTAATAAAACATTGCATGAAATCTCCAAGCATATTTCGTTGAGTCTGTTGAATCTGAATTTCAGCCAAAGTCTTTTTGTCAAATAACAGCAATAAACTTTTGAACACAACTTTTGTTCAGTCAATTTCGAGTTGATAAATATTCAGTTTAGCTGAAACCCATTGTAATGCTGCGATATATTGAACCACTTTTATACGAAATGTATATTTTGTATTCTATAGTTAACCAACAGTGGGTATCTACGTCAAGTCTAAGACTTATGCGCAATAAATAATTCAGCATCGCTAAATGCATAACTTGTAAGAAATATGAGAACGATCCAAAAGAGCAACTCTCTGCTACGAAAATGAACTACAGTCTTTTTGACAAATAAGATATTTATATTCTGCCGTTTGTGAAGATGCACTTTACAGCTAGCGGTAATGTGGTAATATATCGTACATAAAGAAATCAATAGATATCAACGGTAGAGATAAAATACCCTTGTACAAAACTCAGCAATATATAGTGGCAAGACTTACTCTAGCAGGTCGCTGATGTGGATCATCTGAGAACACTCTACATCGTCCCTATTCTCTGTCATCAGCGTTAGCGTCATCATGAATTCCCTTCTATCCTCTCTCAGCCAGCTTCCCGGAAATGATATACGAGAGGTATCCATAGTAACAGTATCTGTAAGATTCTCCTTGAAACAGGGCTTTTCTCGATCATAATCAACATAGCATGTCCAGTTGAACCTAAAGTGATGAAGATTAAGAAATAATCTATTTTCATTTCTACGTAGGGTTTGCTTTAGATCCACTCCACCATCACATCCCATTAATGCTTGCTTTGGTCTAATGGTGTTTACTCTTTGTAAATCACGGCATACTTGTCTTTCCATTTTAAGAAACGCATCAATTCCTACTTTCGAACAGAGCCTGATTTCACAGTTTCCCCAGTAACGAAAGCTTTCAGTATAGTTTTTCTAGGTCTTTAAATGTTATTGGTTTTCAATTGAAATAAGGAAACATTGTAGTTTCCCAATATCTGTAATATCATGCATAGATCATCATTTAAGGAGCCATATCAATATGAATGTGAAAATGAAAATCAATTTTTAAAATATGACAGAAACAAGAGGCCTAAGGGGCCCGTATTGCCATCTGTTAATCAGTCTTTTATCTTGGTGAACTTTATTTTGAATTCTTCTAGAGCGAGACTTTTGGATGTGAAAAATATTCCTGCACTTCAGAAGAGATATAGGCTATTGTGGATTTTATAACCATGGATGCGCAATACCAAATAAAGCATAATATTTTGAGCAATCCATATTTCTTTAATTGTGGACACAGTTTAGAATAAAAAATAAACAAAGGGCCTCTTGTAAATAGTCAGGATGGATGCTACACTCAAGATAATGTCTTCGACAAAGTTACTTACAATGAGCTGAGGCAACAACTCTACATACTGTATAGTTAGTAATAATCTCGAAGGATTTATTTTTGCTATATTTGTTGTTATAACAAAGACAGAAATTGAATACCTAGCGAATATCAATAGCTTGAATTATAATATTATGTGTATTTACAGACAGAAAACAATCTGTTTACCTGTTTACTGCCAAATAATGAAGATAAAATAATAATTCAGTACCACATTTTACTTTTTATTTTTTACTTTATTTTTCAAAATTAAATCTCATCAACTAAATACAAAAGTACCCTGATTAGTGCAATATTTTATGTAGCCATGTTTAATGAAATTAATCCTCGCAAACTAGTTCCGATAAGGACATCTGCAAAATATTAGCCCCACGAAATTAAAAGACTTTCCAGTATACTGGCCCTTTGGGCTACATTAGCTAACAACTAATGTCAATGATGATCATTATACCTGAGTGAAGAGTTGCTGTTGATGTCTGGGTCTAAGGAGCTCGTACCATCTATCACAACAACACCGTCTCGTCTCACCTCTCTGTACACGCCCCCTTTGATAGAGCACAATGGTTGGGTGGGGTCCACGCTAACTTTGGTCTGACACTCTGTGTGTACGATTGTTCCTCGCACCATCACCTGTTATGAGGAGACAACCATGAATGTTTAACTCATTCATCCCTAAAGGCACTTTTGAACTCTTCCAATTCAAAGGTTGGAATAGTTCATTATGAAATTTCAGGGGTGCATGTGTTAATACAACATCTTCAGCAGCATACTTGCCAACTCTCCCTATTTAGGAGGGATACTCCCCATGTTGGACCATTAAACCTGGTATTTTCAACCTGTGAATTTGCTAAACTATTCATATTTTTAAGATCTAATGATTTTTTCTGAAAGAACTCAAAATATTTCAATTTCAATGGTTATTTTGTCTCTTGGGGTTTATACACACATTTCATTTATGTTTTAAGCATTTTAAAAAGCTGCCAAGTATGCAGTATGCAGCATTGCGCACGTGTGATTGACACTGGGGCAAATCATCAGTAGATCAAGTTATACAAACATGACAGGGTTGTATAATTCCACTAGCCTGACAACCAGAGCTATGAGATTTGATGTCAGGCCTGCATAATTTTTCTAATCTTTATTATGAAAATATTGGTTGAGTTAGTAATTGTTTTTTAAATGTGCCTGCATGCTGTAGTACTCAATGAGATTCACATCCTTGAATCCTTCTTCAGAAACCTGTTAAAATTGGCAAATTCACTTTCTTTCTAAAATCATTTTATTGAACAAATATCATTTTAGAATTATCCAGATATAGTTCTTTTATAAATAAATATCTTATTACAAATGGCTGAGAATACCATCTTCTTCAATAGGCTAAATCGTTTCCTCAAACATTACATGAACATAAATAGCTCATCCCAAACGACAGACAATTGGTACAAGATACAAGATACAAGAAACTTTATTTAATGTCGCATACAGGTAAACAAGGAACATTAGCTCTTGAGAGCTATTTTTGCGACAAACATATGTAAAAATAACAATAACATATTACATTACAAGTAAAGGGAGATAATCACATATATTAATAAAAAAAACCAGTAATAATCATCACAGAAAAAGAAAAAAGAAAAAACAAATATGGTTAACCATATTTCAGTCATAAAATACCAAAAAAAGTTCCATCACACAATGGGTGAAAATAGCGCATCCCAAAATGGCAGACAAATTGGCTGATCAAAATGTCAAATAAAGTTCCCTCACACATTGCGAGGAAATAGCTCATCCCAAAATGGCAGAGTAATAGCTCATTACCGAATTGGCTAAACAGATTATTTCTCAATAAGCTACATAGTTTCCTCACACATGAAGTGAAAATAGCTCATCCCGAAATGGCAAAATATAGCTAATAAACAATTGATTGAAAATAACTCATTTACATCAAATAGGCTGAAAATTACTCAATCAAAAATTTATGATTTTTATACTTGATGCACATTATATTTATTTCAAGGAAAATGAATAGTGGAACTTCCTTGTGTGTGAATATTTCAGATATTTTACAAGATTTTGATAAAAAAAAAATAGAACTGAAGATGTGTCCTTAATGATTTTTAATGTATTATCCAATCATGCTAATATCTCTTCGCTTCATTCACCAACATCATTTTATCTTTACCAAATGTTTCAATACTAAGGAAACACTGTTTAACTTGACTCCCTTTGGAATTGATGAACATATGTATGGACAATTATGACAAGCTCATTATAACTAACCCAAAACATGTCAAAATTCTGTCTGATATTAGCTCACCAGCTCCCGTCTCGAAATCCAAATAAATCACACTAGCACATCGAACGTACATGAGAATGGCACACTGATACACAGTCCCTACAGCATCAAACTCCATTTAAATTTTAACACTTAATTTCAACAAAACATAAAAATAACATCAGTCTAATGCGGGCGATCAATCACACAATTTCTGTTGATTTAATGTTGATATTGATTTTCAATTTTAACAAACTGTGCCACACACAGAAGCCTGTTAAATTGGGCAGCACACGATGCGAGAAATAAGGCAGCAGTAAGATGGTTTGTGAAACTTGACAACGCGTTCCTGGCCGAGTTACGGCACGCCAGGCATGTCTGCTTCGGCAGGGTCTATACTTGTACAGGCTTGGTTAAAGATCTGTAAGGTAGTCCATGTACTCTATAACAGTAGGGGAAACACTGGGGAAGTGTCATCGATCAAGCTAATTGGTCGCTCACTACCTGGTAGTTTGTATCTGAAAAGTATATATGTGTTTGGTTGTGCTGATGTATTGGGGTAGGTATGTACTGTATGTGTTTGGTTGTACTGATGTATTAGAGGTAGGTATGTACTAACGTATTGGAGGTAGGTATGTACTGATGTATTGGAGGTAAGTATGTACTGATGTATTGGAGGTAGGGATGTACTGATGTATTGGAGGTAGGTATGTTCTGATGTATTGGAGGTAGGTATGTACTGATGTATTGGAAGTAGGTATGTACTGATGTATTGGAGGTATGTATGTACTGTTGTATTGGAGGTAGGTATGTATTATATGTGTTTGGTTGTGCTGATGTATTGTAGGTAGGTATGTACTGTATGTGTTTGGTTGTACTGATGTATTGGGGTAGGTATGTACTGTATGTGTTTGGTTGTACTGATGTATTGGAAGTAGGTATGTACTGATGTATTGGAGGTTGGTATGTACTGATGTTTTGGAAGTAGGTATGCACTGATGTATTGGAGGAAGGTATGTACTGATGGATTGGAGGTAGGTATGTCCTGATGTATTGGAGGTAAGGATGTACTGATGTATTTGAAGTAGGTATGTACTGATGTAGTGGAAGTAGGTATGTGCTGATGTATTGTAGGTAGGCATGTACTGTATGTGTTTGGTTGTTCTGATGTATTGTAGGTAGGCATGTACTGTATGTGTTTGGTTGTACCGATGTATTGGAAGTAGGTAGGTACTGATGTATTGGGGGTAGGTATGTACTGCTGTATTGGAAGTAGGTATATACTGATGTATTGGATGTAGGTATGTACTGAGGTATTGGCGGTAGGTATGTACTGTATTTGTTTGGTTGTACTGAAGTATTGGGGTAGGTATTTACTGTATGTGTTTGGTTGTTCTGATGTATTGTAGGTAGGTATGTACTGTATTTGTTTGGTTGTACTGCTGTATTGGAGGTAGGAATGTATTATATGTGTTTGGATGTGCTGATGTATTGGAGGTTGGTATGTACTGATGTAGTGGAAGTAGGTATGTATTATATGTGTTTGGTTGTGCTGATGTATTGTAGGTAGGTATGTAAACGCAAACGCAAACGGATGTATAATACGCCTGTCTGACCCTATCCAATGATTTTTTGTTCGTTTAAATCAAATCCATATTGTCCTTGTTAGACCCCACATGAACATCCATGCCAAAAATTAGGACAATAACACATGATCTGACTAAACTGTAGACCACTGAAGAAACTTGCACCTAAATTTTAACTGGACGAACAGACGCAAACGCTATACCATAATACGCCTGTCGAATTAAATTTGACAGGCCTATAACAATATTGACAAGGAGTTAAATGGAATGATGCTACTATTGTACAAAACAAGCATGTAATACGACAGACAAACTACTCTGCAATGTTAGAAGGACAGACGGACAGACAGAGACAGACAGACAGCTCAAAACAAACATGCAATACCACAGACAAGCTAATCTGTAATGTTAGGACAGACGGACAGACAGAGACAGACAGACAGCTCAAAACAAACGTAATATGACAGAGAAACTATTCTGCAATGTTATAAGGACAGACGGACAGACAGGGACAGACAGACAGTACAAAACAAACGTAATATGACAGACAAACTATTCTGCAGTGTTAGAAGGACAGACGGACAGCCAGAGACAGACAGACAGTTCAAAACAAACGTAAAATGACAGACAAACTATTCTGCAATGTTAGAAGGACAGAAGGACAGACAGAGACAGACAAACTACTCTGCAATGTTAGAAGGACAGACAGACAGACAGAGACAGACAAACTATTCTGCAATGTTAGAAGGACAGACGGACAGACAGAGACAGACAGACAGTTCAAAACAAACGTAATATGACAGACAAACTATTCTGCAATGTTAGAAGGACAGATGGACAGACAGAGACAGACAGCTCAAAACAAACCTGCAATATCACAGACAAGCTACTTTGTAATGTTAGAAGGACAGACAGACAGAGACAGACAGACAGCTCAAAACAAACATGCAATACGACAGACAAACTATTATGCAATGTTAGAAGGACAGACGGACAGACAGATACAGACAAATTACTCTGCAATGTTAGAAGGACAGACAGACAGACAGAGACAGACAAACTATTCTGCAATGTTAGAAGGACAGACGGACAGACAGAGACAGACAAATTACTCTGCAATGTTAGAAGGACAGACGGAGACAGACAGACAGACAGACAGCTCAAAACAAACATGCAATATCACAGACAATCTACTCTGTAATGTTAGAAGGACAGACAGACAGACAGACAGACAGACAGCTCAAAACAAACATGCAATACGACAGACAAACTATTCTGCAATGTTAGAAGGACAGACGGATAGACAGAGACAGACAGACAGCTCAAAACAAACATGTAATATGACAGACAAACTACTCTGCAATGTTAGAAGGACAGAAGGACAGACGGACAGACGGAGACAGACAGACAGCTCAAAACAAACACGTAATACGACAGACAAACTACTCTGCAATGTTAGAAGGACAGACGGACAGACAGAGACAGACAGAAAGCTCAAAACAAACATGTAATATGACAGACATGCAGACAGACAGACAGATGTTTAATATAAGCAGGATAGACACAGACACAGACAGCTCTGCAATATTAGTAGGACAGACAGACACAGACAGACAGACAAAGTCGATAGGATAATCAAAGCATCAATGTAATAACACCTTCCAAACAAGGAAGTTGGTAGAGACAGATATGTGAACAGTACACACAGTTATACACGAGTGTATCCGTGTCGTAAGGTTAAGTACCAATTATGATAAGAATGTAAAGTTTAAATACTTCCTGTTAACCACATCCCTGTATATAGATTTTACTGGGATTTATAAATAGTCGAACATACAATGCAGACGATCGGGAAGAAATTAACAATATCAGACACTAACGACAAGGTATGCAGGCAACAACCATTAACTCACCGTGACTTTAAGATCATAGGTTCCGTATGGTAAAATTCTAGCTGGTATCCTCAACATTTTCTTTCGTAGTACGTCATCATCTAAGGTATCCAGCTCCACTTCACGTCCTGACGAGGCGTTATAAAATGCCCACCGATATGCTGTGGCATTAGTGACGTCACAGTCGACATTCTTCAGCTCGACTTCTACGTATAACTCTTTGGAACGAAGCACATGGATCTGTTGATAGATTTGATAAATTGATGATTCATGACCGGTTGAAACAAAAAAATGACATATCACCAGTAATCCCAATTAAAAGAATGAGTTTGACTTGAAGTGGAGATTTTCGTAGAAGCTTGGCCTTTTTCTATTCACACTTTACAACACATAATTAATGATCTTTGTGTCACTGATATTGAATCACAAAACTAAATTAAATGATGTCCTGTTTCATCTTCCTGTCAGGTGATCAGTTAACTCATTTACTCCTGAATACACATTTGAACCCTTCCAATTTAAAGGTTGGAATAGTTCATTATGAAATTTCAGGGGTGAATGAGTTAGAATTGGAAGCCAAACATGAATACCATAGCACTAGACTTGGCAGTTCACTATTTTTGACAAAACTCTTTTCTAACAAAAGTGACCAATTTGAACCTTTCCACATCAAAGAAAAGTCAAGTCCAGTTTAAAAATGTAGGGGTGAATAAGCTAAAATGATACATTTACTGTCCATTCATAATATTATCAAGTCTCCATCATATTCGACCACTTCATACAGAAATAGTCTCATCCACGTATTTGTGATAACTACACGAGATGCCTTAGACAAGTCAACATGTATCATGTCTGTTTTCTATCCCAATATGGAGCATTAAAATCATATTTTTAAACCACTGTTAGTAACTAGAGTATTTTATATACAAACTGCCCCAGCCTTTTTCACAGAAAAATATCGAAAACATATTTATCCCATATACGTTGACTTTACATAAGAAAAACATTACAGTATGTATAAGGTAGTCGTATACTTACAGACACGCTCTCCCCTTTAGTGAATTCTCCATGTATGACTAACTCTGGTTTGACACACTTCTTTCGGAGTACAAATACGTTATCACTGGCCGACGTCATACTCAGCATGTTCTCTGCCCATACTCGAATGACATACTCGCCCACACTGAAAACACAACATGATCAGTGTCTTTAATGTTGTTTGCCTTATATACACAATGTATTTAAGAAAGATGCGTAATTAAATTTATCAATCCACAAAATAATTTTGTCTCTATAAATTACTTTCACCTAAAATTCAATAAGTGGATAGCTTGATATTTTAAGTGTTTTATGCTGGTAATTAGAACATGAAATTTGGTTTGATCTGGAGACCAATAGTCATAGATATTTGTCTAACCAATAAAGTGGTCTCTTAACACAGGTAGTCTCTTAATACAGGTTCAATTTACGAAAATAACTGCAATGGATACTTTCAAAAGTGGTCTCTTAACACAGGTGGTCTCTTAATACAGGTTCAGTTAACATGTCAATAACTGCAATGGGGAGGTTTAAAAGTAATCTCTTAACACAGGTGGTGGCTTAATAGAGGTAGTCTCTCAAGCAGGTTTGAGTATATCTAGCCTGGTACAGATTTGTTATCTATTCTGGTAGAATTCTTTTTATCCTGATTGATATTGGACTAACCTGGTATAGTTATGGCTCATAGTTTTGGACTTTGTGGTTTTGTTTCTGGTTCCATCTCCGAAGTCCCACGTATAGTATAGGTCGCTACCACTGAAGTGGTAGACGGAGAAGGAGCTGTTCTCCTCCACAATATGGTGCTTCTTTTTTGGATCGTATCGTATCTCGAGGTACTCGCTGACCGGTGATTGGACATGGATATAGACCGGTTCCGATTCTACGTGACTTATAGAATTATGAGCAGACACTGTAACAGTATATCTGAAACGATGAAACAAAAAAATCAGTTAAAATAATTCCTTAAAATTGAAAAACAATTGAACACTTTGCCTGCTGTTGGCTCTCATCTCTGCCCATGTCGATCAACTATCTGCCATTGCAGACATAAATAGCACCTAAGCTTACTTAGAGATCAAAAGTACTCGTTTTCTAAATATAATAGCATTAAATCACTACCCACACTTTTCAATTTTTTGAAGGGAATTGTTTTCAGTACCTGGAAGTGGCCACTGTTTTCAGTACCTGGAAGTGGCCACTGTTTTCAGTACCTGGAAGTGGCCACTGTTTTCAGTAATGTTATTCAGTTAGACAGCAACGTTTCAAGAATTAAAATGTTATAGAATTCACACACAATTTTCATATGAAAGAATGAAGTTAGATGAAGTTGATAATGCCAAGATGTAACCGTTTGGAAATAGATAATAAACTACAAAATTACAAGAGTGGGCTCAAAATGAGTAAGTAACGCATAACTACTGAATGAATATAGGGGGGAGATAATTACATTAAACAGCAGGCAATGTGGTAAATAAATGTTGTCATTAAAAAGATCAATATTTTATTTGACAATTACTGTATTATTTGGATAGATAAAAGATATCCTTTGGCAAACGAGAGGAAAAAAGATAATGTCCACCATTATACTATATACTCTGTTTACTATTGAACTATTCAATAGATAAATTTAGGGACTAAATTCTCACTTGCTAGGTATGGTGTACATGTGGGTCTTGAATGGATCATAAGACTGCTTTGGCTTTTCCTGAACTCCGAAGTTCCACTCAAAATAACCGACATCTGCATTTTCTGGAAAGGTTTCAGCGCTGTATTTCACCTCTTCATAGGTTGCAACAACTTTTTTTGAGAGCATCAAGTTCACCCCTGAAAACAAAGAAGAAATATTAGATATCTAACAAAATTTTGAGCAAGGCTGACTGTTGCAAGCAATCCATACTTAGTTTCCTACCTTTGGACAGTCTTTGGAATAAAAAAGGGTCATAACTCTGTATATTTTTTTAAGGCAAAGAGGGCCCAGTTTAAGTACACAATAGTCGACCATCTGAAAATGAACTCACCTTTAAAATTTGTCAATAATAGGTGACTAAGTATAGGATATATACCCTGGAAGTGACAAACATTGAACAAAGGGCCATAACTGTGTATATTTTTGAGGAAGGAGACTCAATTTCAGAGTAAAGGATAGTTTACCGTCCTAAAATGTACTCATATATAAAATTTGTCAATAGAAGGCGACCTTTTATAGGAGATATGCCCTTAAAGTGACAAACATTGAACAAAGGGTCATAATTCTATTTAATGGGGCACTATATATAGTCCCAATTTTGTACAAACAAAGCACCAACATTCTAAGAAGGACTAGCATACACAATTTGGCAATTGTAGGTGGAAAAGTATATCATATATGCCCAGGACAAGTAATACATCGGCTGATAGACTGATGGACCCAAGACTAACATACTTTAAATTGAACAGAGTTCCCTGCAGTATATAGTACTGCTAGGGGACTTGTAATTCACGTAATGCAATTATCCAATACCATTTAATCCCAAATAAAGTTAAAGGAACGTCAATACAGAGGACTGTAGATTGGATTAATGACTGGAACACTGTAGGTTAGAACCCCACTGTCAGCAGTTAACTAGTTATTATTTTGTAAAAGCATTTCCTTAACAAGGATATGGGTTAGATAACGAGTGAAAAATAGTCTCAATTACAATAAGATAAGATACTTTATATACAGTCACCTGTCACTTGAACCTCTATTTTCATTTTCTGATATAGATGCTTTTAAGTGGAAACAGCAATTTAGGTATTTGTATAAAATACAGACTGTTTTTATCTTACATAAAACCAAGATTTATGTATCTCGTTATCTATATACCATAACAAACATTATTTCAAGTCACTTCTTCTCCCGGAAATGTCAAGTATTACAAATTGATATTTTATCGGTTAATAGAATCTCAGATTTTGATTGATGTTGTAAAACCCAAGGTTACATCTTTATCAAAAACAATTTATAAAGGTTGGTAGAGTAAACATAATTGCGCTAGGTAAAGTCTACATGGTTGGCTACTGAATAAGGCCTATTCAGGGTCGGCTGACATGTTGGACATGGATTATGGGAAGTTGTATCTGTGGGTTCTCGCCTCTGGACCGACTGGTACACATGTCGGGCACGAGACGGACAGACTAATTACCAAGTCGGGCACAGCTCGTACATAACAAAGGAAGGTGTATTCATCAAATGTGTTGGTAATTGCATGGCAGGGTTTCCTCGGATGGGTTATGTACCGATGTTTACATCGTCTGGTGTCCAACAGAAAATGAAGGCAGGGGAAGGGGATTCAATATACTGTCCCATAACACGGAACCATCAATACGTTACACTACCTATACTCAGGGCATTGTCTGCGAATTCAAGGCTCGTGTAATCAGCAGTGTTGCATCCTTTCCAGTGTAAATGTAAATCTCCAAGAAGTGTAACAATTGCTTTTTTATTAAATGAGATTCATAGAAGTTTTATGAGATTGAACAAAAGCTGAAAATTGTTACATTTGTTTAGGGCAAGGACACTAAATAAGCATGTGCAAGATGTATAACAGCACAGTTAAACACAATCTTTCTCAATTTAAAAAAAAAAAGTTTTTATTATTAATTAGGTTTTTAAACTAGATAATGACAATATTTCAAATATACTGATTTTTAACACAACACTAAATTTGAGTAACAGAAGTGACCTGAAAGTTGATGCTATACATAGCCCTGAATAAAGTTCATGCATAGCTGAACTTGCCGTGACCTTGATATATGTGCAAGCAGGAAATGACCTTGACATTTGTATGAAACATGACCTTTCAGTAGATGTATGCGACATGTCACCTTGACACTGGTCGAGACACTTACTTTGGAGTCTGTGTAGAACCTGGACTTCAGCCGTCTTAGTGAGCTGTGACACATCATTCTTTGCGATGACCGTGACCTTGTATCTGCCAACCTGTGTATACTCGTGCGTCACTATGGGGCCTGTAACACAACATGGACAATTTCAGGTAAAAAAAAGCTATCTTATGCAAACAATGTCTTTTTTATGGTGTTTATTTTTGCTAATTTCCACAATGCTTTTGTATTTTTGTCCCTATTTCAATTATCACATAATGAAATGCAAAAAATTTGGTAACACACAAACCTGCATCATTGACTATGTCAGACTGATCCCCAAACTTCCAGTCGAAGGTGAAGTTAGTTCCCCCGGTGACACTAGCTCTGAAGGTGGTTTCCTCCCCAAATGGAGTCCGAATCATCTCTGGGTGCAGCTGGAGCCCTTGAGTGGGCAGCTGTACATAGAAAGGCAAGGCGAGGTATGACGTCATCTCAGACAGGCTGTTCCTGGCTGTTACACTTACATTGTACACTCCCTCTGAAACAGATATTGTTAAAATTTAATATCGCAATTAGGCTGTTCCTGACTATTATATATGCTATTACATAGTACACTCCCTCTGAAAGAACAAAATCCTGTTTCCACATGTAATTATATGATATTGTAACACATTTTAAGGCCCACATCAATGAAGTGATTACAAAATGAATAATGGTGTGACAGCAAAATTATGGACATCATTTGAAGAACAGTCTTCTGTCAAATACATGTTTTTAAGGAGACCTACTTAAGTGAGCACTAAATAGATATGAGCCATCTTCCAAGAATAAAAGGGCTAGATTGTGTAACAGTGTAAATGGGCAATGGTTAAATGTGAGAGTGCCTTGGCTTAAAATACAAAATTGTCAGCATGGTTTAATGAGAGACTGCCTCAGTATGGTTCAAATGTGAAAGTGCAAGCATCAGTTAAATGTGAGTCTCATTGTGATATTGTGGGTTAAATGTGAGAATGTCAACATGGATTAAATGTGAAAATGTCGGTGTGGGTTAAATGTGAGAATGTCAGTGTGGGTAAAATTGTGAGAATGTCAGTGTCGGTTAAATTGTGAGAATGTCTACATAGATTAAATGTGAAAATGTCAGTGTGAGATAAATGCGAAAATGTCAGTGTAGGCTATTTGTGAGAATGTCAACATGGATTAAATGTGAGAATGTCAGTGTGGGCAAAATGTGAGAATGTCAGTGTTGGCTTAATGTGAGAATGTCAACGTGGGTTAAATGTTAGAATGTCAATGTGGGTTAAATGTAAGAATGCCAATGTGGATTTAATGTGAGAATATAAGAGCTGAATACCTTTTGTATACCGGTGAGAAGACGTAGCCATCATGATGTTGACATACTGGTGAAGTATACCCGACACCTGCTTTGTAACACCATCACCAAAATTAAACTCAAAGGTCACATCCGAGCCTCCGCACCTGATTGAATAAAGTATATCCAATTAGTTGCCATGGTTACCATAATGTAAGTTTACGCTATATCTACATGTTACAATGTGTTAATGATATTGGTTTGAAATAGGATTATTTTTTGTCTGTAAATAAATTATGAATGTATCATCATATATGGGCTACCGCTTTACAATAAATTATGAATGTAGCATCTTATATGGGCTACCGCTTTACAATAAATTACAAATATAGCATCATATGGGCTACCGCTTTACAATAAATTACGAATGTAGCATCATATATGGGCTACCGCTTTACAATAAATTACGAATGTAGCATCTTATATGGGCTACCGCTTTACAATAAATTATGAATGTAGCATCATATGGGCTACCGCTTTACAATAAATTACGAATGTAGCATCATATTGGCTACCGCTTTACAATAAATTACGAATGTAGCATCATATGGGCTACCGCTTTACAATAAATTAAAAGTCATATCTTAGTTTTAGTTTGCACAGTGTTCCAAAACACAAAAATATAACGTCACTTTTTTAACGTAAGCGCTACACAGTACACAAACTATATGACACTCACTTTGACAGGAAGCGGACCTCTGGGGTGGACAGGTTGGGGGCAGAACCCTGCAGTGGCGACCCTGTAATCTTCTCGTAGATCTCAACGGTCAGCTGACTGACCACTTCCATCACGTGGAACTGGAAGTCCAGCTGAACAATGAAGGGCTGGGTATACAGCTGATTGGAGACTCGGACACTGACGTCATACTGACCAGCCATAGAGAAGGAGTAGTTAGCTGTGCTGTTGTTTCCTTCGCTGTCAACACAAAACAGGTACAGGTCATTAGTGGCCATATCCCTCAGCGATGTGCCCCTAGACTACATCTGTTAAGTTATAAGTGCCTTTTTGAACTTTTGTAATAAGTGATGTTCACAAGAGTCTCCCATCATTGTTTGTTAATATCAAAACAAATTAATTGAATAAACCTGCAGCTTTTATAATATCTTAATATTTATAAAGAAAATACTGATACATTGTACAGAAATTCGATTCTACATTACACACCTTACAATTTTTATTTTAATATTTAAGAAAACAATTTATATTAAAAATCAACAGAAACAGAAAATATTTTCGTAAAGCTAATAAATAAAAAAATAAAAAAATAATCAAAGGATAAAATGATAATTTAAGAAATATCAAAAGATTGATATTACATCATGAGTTAATTTTGTCACATCTACAATAATATATTGAAAATATGAAGAAACCTAAACATATGTATATCAATCTGTTTATGAGTATATATATGCTTCTATTTAAAGACGTGTCAAAGATGCTTACAGTTAATGTTTTACCCAGCTGTATGATAATCGAAACTAACTGTGCGTATATGTAACCTAAACACCAGATGAGCTTTATCAGACATCTACACCAGGTTTAAACTCACAAAATGTTAGAAAATAATACAAAAGCAATTAAATACCTCTGTAAATGTTTCTCTGAACTATTTTGCACAAAAAAATCCTTAATATCGTCAAGTGTCCATTTCCAAGTGTACATGTTAAACATATGGAACATTCCATGGTGCAGGCTATAATACTTTCCTAACATTAATCACTCCTAGCTTACACAACCCCGACCGGCTGCAGTCTCCTCTATGTATGGGTGTAATATGGTTAGTTTTAAGGAGTTCACAAAAAAAACAAAAAACATACTTGTATTCTGAATAGACTGTCACGATTTGACAGGGTGTAAATAATTGAAAAATGGCCATTAGCAATAGGTTGATGAGCTATGTAATTACATATCCGCTTAGCTCAGATACGGCAATCCATCATGGCCAGGGGGAGAGGATAGGGCGCGATTACGATCAGCTTATGGACCAGAGACAATCATCTGTCTTTAGCAAGTCATCAGTAGATCTAAAATATCAGCTTGGCCTGATCCTCCATCCTGATTGAGTCATCCATCGTGTACAATGCCTGAGCTCCCGAGAACCCGATACATAAGGTCTGATGATGATCTACCTGTAGTTTATAACGCTGCTAAAGTAGTCTTCTGGCAATAGACACTCTACACATTTACCACGCCATATGACAAAGTACTTGTAGTTATTTTACCACGCCATATGACAAAGTACTTGTAGTTATTCCCCCTTAAGTGTAGACGCATTACGCACAAAAAAATAAAATTACAAGGCGGATGTTGAAACTTTATACATAAGGCCAAAATATACACTACCACAAAAAATCCTTTTGTTCCAGCATAACATATATATATATTACTTTTTCCTTTTTACAAAAAAACGGATTTCCCAAATCTGATTTGAATGACCAAATCCTGTTCCCCTTTAGGCATGTATACATCCTCATCACGTGCATATTTCAAAGTATCAAATACATGACATGACATCCCTCCATCGTGTCTCATTCTGAAAACTTACATCGATCTCCATCCTATCATAAATCTGTCGTGTCCGTCCACCCTGTGATAGCTAATAAGTACAAAATTCCATTTTTAGTGTCCCATCTAGACTGGCCACCAGCCCCTAAGTTTTTATGAAGAATTTCTTGACTGCATTTTACTACTAGCTTATCTCCCCCTAGTTTAGAACTTAGGAACTCTAGAATTAGACATCCAAGTGAGTTAATTTTTTCTCTTTATTATTTAATATTCTAGAGACGTTGGCCAATCTATGTCCCATCCTGTGATCATTAATATGTAAAGACCTCCATGTTTAGAGTCCCATCCTGTGATCATTAATATGTAAAGACCTCCAAGTTTAGAGTCCCATCCGGTGATCGTTAATATGTAGAACCACCATCATGTTTTACCTCCTTAATGTCTGTCCCATCCTGTGATCGTTAATATGTAAAGACCTCCATGTTTAGAGTCCCATCCGGTGATCGTTAATATGTAAAGACCTCCATGTTTAGAGTCCCCTCCGGTGATCATTAATATGTAGAACCACCACCATGTTTTACCTCCTTAATGTCTGTCCCATCCTGTGATCATTAATATGTAAAGACCTCCATGTTTAGAGTCCCATCCGGTGATCGTTAATATGTAGAACCACCATCATGTTATATTTCCTTAATGTCTGTCCCACCCTGTGATGGTGAATATTTGAAGTTCCAAATTGAATCTTATGTCTATAAAAGGTCCTACCAGATGAAAAGATATACCACAAAGATATACCACAAATGATATTTGATATACTTTCCCATACTTTTGTCACCATAGACATTATAATGTGATAGTTTTTTTTATTTCCTCACGTCAACACATTTTCATTTCTTCTGTTCCATCCTGTGATAGTCACATGTAGACTATGTTATACATTCCTAGAGTCTGTTCCATCCTGTGATAATCACATGTAGACTATGTTATACATTCCTAGAGTCTGTCCAATCCTGTGTAATCACATGTAGACTATGTTATACATTACTAGAGTCTGTCCAATCCTGTGATAATCACATGTAGACTATGTTATACATTCCTAGAGTCTGTCCAATCCTGTGATAATGCAAGTTATTCTATAGTGCACTGTCCTATTTTGTGATAACCTCATTATTTGATATCCTCCTGATTGCAAATACTTTATATATAAAAATCTCCATTTTGTTACATTTCAAAACTCACAAAAACTTAATATATATATCCTCATTCTATTACATTTCCACAGTACAACATCCCACAAAGTGACTGTTACAAATGAGTTACTCCCAATGTTACACTCTCCCATACAGTGACAGTATAATTTGATAGCTTATATAATTTAGATCCTCATTATATCATATTTCCATCCTCCCACTTCCATTCTGTGATGCCTACAATCCCGCAGGACCGCAGTGATGCCTTATTATGATACAAAATCCCATTACTCCCGAATTCTCTGATCAACCTCCTTTTCAACACTTTCTCCGACCTGTCTCTGTTTCCAATCATTTCCATACTAGTTTGTGTCCCCGAGGTATTCACAAATCCTGTCATCGAACCCTCACGAAACCTCAAAAACCTTAAATACAAAATCCCTCTGTTATTACCCTCGTCTTCAATTTCTAGTTTTATAGTAACCCAACCTTGATTGAAATTCCACAAATACTCCCCCAGTTTCTAATCACTAGCAATTTAACCGGCATTCTGGCAGTTCCAATAATTTTTACACCTAATAGTTTTTCATCTCCCAATTTTTTCAATTCCTTTCACTATCAATTTGATATAATCATCTACTGAAATGGCATTTAGAGATATTGCGCGGAATTTTCCATTTGTGCATGTTTTGATTAGAGATTCTCATTTTTTTCAAATTCCATTTTTTTCTCGTCTTTAAGGATTTTTGTTTTGCTGAGCTGTCAATTGGAGCTGAATAGATTAGCACTAAAGTCTGCGCTTCACCATATTCCATTGATTTCAATAGAGAGAATCTATAACATGTTAATAATCACTGAGGCTGTTTCCTGGCACTTGTGTATGAGCCTCGTTGATACCATATATAGCACATCGGTATTTCCTTGAGCTATTATAAGGCGGTGTCCGACCGGTCGCTTCAAGTTTAAAATTACCCTTTGTCAGACTGACCAAAGGCATTAAGATGGTCTCAGTACATAGATGTCTGTACATGGTCACTGTATTTGACATTGGGGCAGCATGACCAGGACAACCAAATAGGCAAAGGTTAAAAATTACCTTGGTTCAATGGAACAACCAAAGTGGCAATGGTCAAAAATGACAAAAGTCATACATGAAAAGAACAATTAACACAAGAGATAAGGTCAAAAATGACCTTGGTCCAATGGTGCAAGTATTTTATGATGAGAACAACCAGATTAAGTGGTTATATGCATGGTCAAATATAATCTTGGTTCAATAGTAAAAGTCATATGTGATAAGGCCAATCAATATGACCAAGGTCAAAACTGTAATGTGTGTCCTAAATGACAAGGTCACAACCAAAGTGACCATTTATGGTCAAACTTGAAGGCTTCACTTCATTTTTGACCATGGTCATTACATATTAGTTAACCTTGACACAACACAAAATTGTCAGCCAATATGACCAAGGTCAAAATTACATGGCATCAATTAGATCGCCAAAAGGGGCCAAGGTCAAACAAGAGCCCTATCCATTACTGACGTGAATTGTTGTATTTGATATTGGTGCACAAGTCCCAAATGGATCTAAAGACAATTATTTTAGTTACATTTCCTGAGATAATTAAACAAAAGCATGGATACAGGAAAGGCTGGGTAAAGATGGGTTTGGTTTGTTTGTGTTTTATGTCCCATTAACAGCTTTGGTCATTTAAGGACACGTCAGGTTTTGGTATTGGAGAAAAAACGTACTACCTGGAGAAAAAACACTGATCTGCAGCCAGAAAATTGTGGCTGTGCACATAGACCTCGATCCCGCAACCAAGTGGTAGGCTAGTGATCACTGACAGTCAATCATCATAGCCTACTGGGGAAAGGACTTAGTTCTTTGTCTTTCTGCTAGACTCAACAGGACATTTCTCCTACATTACATCAGTGAACTAGTAGTGTATAGCTGTACATAGTTCCACGTCACTGTTATAGCTTTGTGCATCCCTCCTGGTTACAATTATATATATAATCCATCAAACTCCTTGTTTTGTAGGCATATTGAAGTGTCAACAACAGATTTATTCTGAGTTTAAGTTTCCCTACATTCAATATGACTGACAGTGTGCCAAATTGCCTACTGGAAATCCCTCAAACATTTCTGTTTTTGAAATAACCTTTGTATTTTAGAGATCAATACTTAACAAATTTACTGAGACTTGCCATGATTCTTTGCAAGGTTATGATGTGCAAAAACATCTGAAATGTTTCTCTCATATTGAAAAGTTAACGACAAAATTTCCTGACTTTGTAAAGTTAATAAAAGAAAACTACCATCATTTAGATATAAATTTTATCTTAATTTTCGTTTTAATTTGATCACCATCACATTATTTTACAAAAACCTGGGTGATTTTGGAATGGAAAGTATTCCCCATGTCACCTCGTAATTAGTCAAATGATATTCACAGAAAGTGGGACCTGCATGAAAACATTCTGGTAAAAAGCTGAAATGCAAACAGGATCCAGGCTGCATTTTAGTCAAGGTCTTGTCAGCGTTAAATAAAAACACTAAACAAAAGGCACAAGAGTCCAGTGTCGGTATTCTACACTGATCCCACCTCTTCTTTCAAGTAATATAGGGGTGCTCACTAGGGAGTTTTAACTTATTTAATTTTTACAAATTCCTTCAAATTCAGCCACCTTATCATTCAAGTGATTTTATGTGTTATGAATGCTAATTATTTTTAACCTGAAATTGAAAATGATTTCAAGGTAATCTGGAACAGTGAAAACCCAATAGCTATTATAACAGTTTTCACTTGTAGATGTTTGTTTTTCCTTTCACTTTATTTCTTTATGGATTATGTTTGGGTGACATCTGAAACAAACATCCTGCTTACAACAAAGTTAGTATTTGTTAGTTTATCAAAGAAACACACATGAAGGTTATCATACCTGCCAACTTTACTTATTTAGGAAGGAGACTCCCGAATTTGGACCCTAAAATTGATCATTTTCAACTAGTGAATTCGCTAAATTATTCTTATTTTCCAAGATGTGATAATATTGTCTGAAAGAACAGCTCAAAAGATTCCATTTCAGGGTGTTATTTTACCCAGAGTATACAAACACACATTTTATTTATACTTTTAATTCGGAGCATGCTAAGTCCCCCCACCAGAAATTTCTCAAAATGTTGGCAGGTATGGGTAATGATCATGTACAAACAAGATAATAGGTCTCAAACCTACCTTACAACTTTCAGGTATTGGCTCGGCTCATAAACTTCATCGGAGAAATCCCATTCAAACGTGAGGTCATCTCCAGTGGCAACCGTTGCCGTGACAACGACCCATTCTGCCACCTGTACCAGGGCTGGTGAATTTGTGTGCAGTTTTACGCCTGTGATTGGTTCTCCCACCAACACAATTCCAGATTCCTCCAACGACGACACTTGGTTTGAAACATTGACGCTGACCTTGTATGTACTCTTGATTGTATAAAGGTGAGAGGTCATGACAATGAAACTGATTTCCGACAACCTGAATATGTTAGAATTGTATTGCAACGTTGATACCTCTGTCGATGTGTTGTCCCCAAAATCCACTTGGACGTTAAAGGTGTCTGCTCCTGTTACAGTGATGTTGATGTAGCTTGTGTGGCCCAGTGGGATTGGACGTGTCTGAACTGTCACCCTGGTTACAGGGTACAACACGGTGATAAGTAAACTGGCCTGTGATTGGCTGACATTGTTGCGGGCTGCGACAACAAGATTGTACATTCCTGGCACGTCAAACTGACGCCGATACTGAAAAGTACAAAAATACAACCAACATCAATGCTTGTTCATGATCATAAAAGTTAGCAGAAACATTTCTATTTAAGGTCTACAATTTTATATAATTATTACTTCATTTTTAAATTACTACATCCATCCTTTAAAAGACTCAATTATGATACCACTGTCGTCGCATAATATCATTATACTCATCACCTGTATTTGCCTCTAGTCGCGTTTAATAAATCCAACATCGAATAAGCAACTGCCGTTAAAGGTTAGCATACAGTCCCCAGTATGGAGAATGTTTAAATAAAAAAAAATGACACTCTAATGCTATATATTCCAACATCTATCAGGTTTTTATCAAATTGTGTAATCAATTATTCAATAACTAATTTTCAAGTTTACATGACTATGTATGGTATGGATACTCATTCACCCCTGAAGACACATTTGAACTCTTCCAATTCTAAGGTTGGAATAGTTTGTTATAAAATTTCAGGGGTGAATGAGTTAAGCCTGGATAAACAAGAGTCATTTTTGTGAGGCCTGTTGTGTATTAAAATGCATATTTAAATTTAGTAGCACTAGACAAATAGTTATAAAGTAAATTGTTAAAAGTATCCTCAAAAATTCATCTTCTTCTGGTAATTCAATGAAAAGGCAAAATCTTCATATATAATAAGTAAAAACAAAATTTCAGAAAATCCATTTTGACATTTAACTCATTCACCCCTGATGACACATTTTAACTCTTCCAAATCAAAGGTTAGAATAGTTCATTCTGAAATTTCAGAAGTGAATGAGTTAATATTTTCAACAAAAAAAGATACTAAATATGTCATCCCCAAAATAACTCAAAATACTTTATCTGACATTGATTATAAAATATCAGAATTGATAATCGAATTCTGTATACTTGCAAAACTCTAAAACTGATTGTGACAAGACCACAATATTGCAAAATTGATTGAATCAAAAGATGCCAAACTAAGCCAGGAATACAAAAGACATCAATATACTTCTGTAACCCCACATGAAAGCTAAATCCTCATACCTCTACCAATGCCTCAACTGGGTTTTTACAATCTTTTTTTTAATTTTGTATCAGCAACCTGTAGTATAATACCCTGTTATTAAATTCCTAAAAAAGACCTGCAAATGTGTCAGCAAGCCTTATCCATTCATCAGACAGTAATACGAATCAGTCCTCCTATCATCCTCGGCTCCGCAGACGGTCGCCATAATCATGGCCGGGCGCATGCTACACTGGTTTTCTGTCCCATACCCGTCATCTCCAACACACAATGGCGGCCATGATGGATTACATCATATAATTTGTCCGCGCACTTAGTAATTATCTCCACCTAATTTGGATGCGTACTATAGCCCATGACAACCACGCACTGTTACTATGGGGAAATTGATGAATAATGAGAGAAAAAAATATTAAAAAATTACAGAGGGAGCGACAGGTAGGAATATCAGTTCAACTGTACTGCATTACAGATAATGCTGCACAAAAAACACATTCAATATTTAAAAAAAAATAGAAACAAAATTTCCCCGTTTTGTCAGAAGCATCAATCTTACTTAACCTGACTACTGCAGACGATACCATAAATGTATTATATATCAACGCATTATTTCCTTAGAAGATCTGCCTCACAGCATTAGACAACTGCAGACAAGTGTAATTACACTATAGAACCAAACATGCATCACTGTGATTTCCTCTAGCAAGAAAATTGGTGGGTTAACATCTGAAAACATACGCCAGCTAAGATTTATTTCTTCCGGGTTTTTGGTGGGTTTTTTTTCAGAACAATAGAATTTTTAACAAAAGCTCTCAATATTGATGGACTGAATATTTGAAATTATAATTTTTTAAATCAGCTACTATATGTAATGTTTGTAGGTGATTTTTTTATTTTTTTTTATTTATATTTCTTAATATTTAATATTTTTTTGATATTCAAACCTATTTGAAGACAAAAATAACTCTTCATCTCTATCTAATCATTTTTGGCTGACCAAAAAACATATTTATATACTTCCCTTTTGCCACACAAATTGTTTTTAAAGTTATTGAAACGATGAACAAAATATCTATCTTATATTCATGTTAATACAGTATACAAACTCTCAGCCATCCCCTAGAAATACACACAAGACTAATTTTTTTTTTTCATTTGAGACTATATTTAAAATAAGTAAATTTACCAATTTATCTGCAAATTGCAAGGAAAGGACTATCATGGAATTGTAAATGATGCTTCAGAATGCTGTGTCATAAACATAGAAAATTATGTAAATTCTTATAGTCATCAAAATGTTTGTATTGAATGATAAGTTTATAGCAATCAAACATTCAAAGACATTGATCAGCATTGTTTAAATCTTCACCTCACTTTTATAAAAATATTTCGTAAATAAATATCTGCTTTTAAAATTTATATCGGTTCTCCTTGGTCTATTGTGATGAGCTAAAATTACAAAATAAAGGTGGATATATTTTAAAATTGAAAAACACTTGTTAGGACCATTTGTAAAATAATCAATTTTTTGCCTGATGGATATTGAAAAGAGGCGAAAAATATCTCAACACGTTAACAGTTCCATGTGGTCATCTTTGTATTTTAAAGCTTGAAAAATAGCAAACTTGGTAATGCAATGCATCAATTTTGTTAAAATTCACTTACGAGGACTGGAAAAGAAATTGAAAAGTTTTTACCTTATTTCCCCTATCGGGCCCTCCCCTCTGCCACGACATATACTCCATGCCAAATTTAGTGAATTATTCCTTCAGCTAATTTAGACTGATGTAGTCTTTTAAGAAAAAGTTGTCTACAGAAGGGCAGACAAGGAATCGAGTTCCATGTCATAAACTCCCATAGCTCTTTTGGCCAGGTAAGCTAAACTTTGAGGAACCAAATTGAGAGGGATAAGTAAGCTAGCTGTAGTTTGTAGTAACCTTATCCACCTAAAGGGCCCAAATAAATTGTATTCCTCTGATTCATCATCTAAGAACACCTGTATCATCTTATAAATATGATCCCCTGTAGTCGAGGTCATAATGGTCACCTGTTATGTCTGACCCCTGGTGACCTCGTAAATTCTTTCCCCATTACATCAGGTAATCCCCTAAATGTGTATAATATCACATTTCTGTAAGCAAGTCTCTCATCCCCCCAGGTAACACAAGTCAGTGGTAACTTGAGTCGTCTAGTGATCACATATAAAACACTCTTACTTTTGATGAAGATACTCTTTTGACATCAATGGTTGCTCTTCCTTACTATCATAATATTTATTCTAAAGATGAAGAATGTTCACATCAGTCAGAAATATTTCAACCATTGAAGATCAAATCAAATGAATTGGTCTTAATGCATTCATGCCTTTTCCAATTCTTCTCCTTCCCCCCCACTCCCAATTTTTTTTTTTTTTGTGATTTTAGAAAATACAACACCATCATTACAAATCATTAACAAGGAAAGTTGAGATGTATAGTAAATATAAACTTTTAAAGAACCCTGTCCCACTGTTTTTTCGTATATACAGTAACCTTCCCTTAATTTCGTTTTGGATATAACTGTAACACAGTTTTGTCCAGGTAGCTCAGTCGGTTATAGCAACACTGTAACGACGTAAGGTCCTGGGTTCGAATACCAGTCCAGCTTTGCTGACTTCTTTTAAACTCATAACACTATTGTTGATTTTATGTTCTGTTTATTTCAACTTTGTTACTTTTCATAAAAGTTCTGCAAGGTATGGTTTTCTTTTCAGAAATTAATTCAAAGTTATATTCATGTCAGAAAAACAGTTTCAAATGCATAGTGACAGTTTTTGGCAGTGGTACAGGGATCCTTAATATCGGAAATTTTGTTATGGTTTACAAACACAGGTTTTATCCTACGTAATCGATAGACAACTCAAAACTGAACATTGTAACTTTAACCCATTCACCCCTAAAGTCACATTTAAACCTTACCAAATCAAAGACAGGGCAAGTCCAGTTTAGATATGTAGGGGTGAATAAGTTAACATTGAACATTTAACAGAAGGTCAGTTACCTTGTCCAGGACACCATAAGATGGACCAGTGATGTTGGGCCCACCACTCATTGATAGGAGTGACCAATGGTACATAACGTCAGTCCCAGAGTCCATGCCCGCCTCCCAGAAGTAGTCCTTGTAAAGTCTGGAATTAAAAGAAACATGGAAAGTTACACCTCACGTTCGTGATTCAAATGGCATGATCGACCTAAATTGAATGAAAAATGTGTGATTTGCAACAAGTAGATTAACACTGCAGGCCTACAAACACTTCTGGAGCTCCTATAAATGATGTTAAAACAACATCTTGAGCAAATAGATATAGGTAGAAACTAAAACCTTTACTGCGTCATACATACCCATCTATCAAAAATTACCAGGAAAATGTCTTATACCTGCAGGGAATATATATTTCTCTCCATTCCACCAAATACCTATCCCAGGCCAGGCAAGGTAAATATTACATAGTAATTTTCAATCATTAACATTTCAATTATTTTTTCGAAGAAAGATAGAAACATCTACAGCTATGTAGCAGTCAAAACGAGGCTCCCTCAACCCCCCATCCCATCCCCATCGGCTCCTGAATAACTTTGCCATACACAAGGTTATTTTCATAGATCTGTCATTATCAGATTCAGAAATCACAACTTCATCATCAAAATAATTAACAAAGTCCACATCATCATCCAAAAAACACATTATGCAGGTTTCATTATAAGTCGAACTCTTTTGAAATGAAGGTACAGACAGTCATAGCAAGGTAGAAAAATTACAGCCTTAAAACTTAATGATGGCCATGTACACAAATGTGTCAAGGCAGCATGTAGGTTATCAAAGCTTATCCCATTTAAAGCATTATCTGTAAATTAATGTGAACATAGGATGGTGCTGAATTCCATAGCTTGTCAACCATAAATAGCTATAATATCTCAGATTTCTCTCACATGGCAAAATTAAATCATTGCTATCTTAAGGAACCCCTTGAACATGCCAGGCATCAAGCAGAAACAATGATATACCCTTGAAGAAAACCATAAAGGCCAAGATTGTAACTAGGCCATCTGTTTATGACTTATATGATGCATTGTGGGATGTGTATATAAATACCCTGATAAGATATGGAAACAAAGGTCTATTGAATTGGTTATATATTATAGCAAAATTGGAAGATATTCAGGTTTCTTGAAACATACAGTCCATTGAACTGAAACAGTTGGAAAACAAAATTTAAATTCCTTCAATTTCGCTCAAGATCATCTACTCCCTTAACAAGTAAATTTCGCAAATATATCAATTTATCATAAGCCAGGAAGTAGCTGCTACTCTAGAAACACACTTATAAGTATAAAGTATCCCCTGGTGTGATCAGCTATGACAAAGATACATGTATATGTGTAATATCCTCTCATGCACTGACTGCACAGGATACACATGTATATGTGAAATAGCCTATGTAGTGTTCTCTGGTGTGATGGCTGAGATATATTTCTGTGTATGATATTCCATGGTGTGTATGCTTCTCCTAGGGTATTTATTACCTGTAGTTCCACAGGTGTGATGGTTCCACAGGAGACAGTGTGATAATTCCTCAGGAGATCAATTTGTATTGTATAGTATCCTTTGGTGTGATAGCTCAGGAGATATTTAGCATTGTATAATATCCCCAAGTGTGTTGTATAATATAATATTCTCTGTTGTGATGGCTCCTCAGGAAATAATTTTGTTTTGTTTAACATCCCCAGGTGCGATGGCTCCCCAAATTCGTATTTTATAATATCCCCAGGGGTGATGGCTCCCCAGAAATATATGTGTATGGTATAATATCCACAGATGTGATGGTTTCTCAGGAGATAAATTTGTATGGTATAATATCCCCAGGTGTGATGGCTCCCCAGAAATATATGTGTATGGTATAATATCCACAGATGTGATGGCTCCCCATAAATATATTTGTATAGTATAATATCCCCAGGTCGTGTGATGGCTCCCCAGAAATATATGTGTATGGTATAATATCCCCAGATGTGATGGCTCCCCAGAAATATATGTGTATGGTATAATATCCACAGATGTGATGGCTCCCCAGAAATATATTTGTATAGTATAATATCCCCAGGTCGTGTGATGGCTCCCCAGAAATATATTTGTATGGTATAATATCCCCAGGTGTGATGGCTCCCCAGAAATATATGTGTATGGGATAATATCCACAGATGTGATGGCTCACCAGAAATATATTTGTATGGTATAATATCCACAGATGTGATGGCTCACCAGAAATATATTTGTATGGTATAATATCCACAGATGTGATGGCTCACCAGAAATATATTTGTATGGTATAATATCCACAGATGTGATGGCTCACCAGAAATATATTTGTATGGTATAATATCCTCAGATGTGATGGCTCCCCATAAATATATTTGTATGGTATAATTTCCCCAGGTGTGATGGCTCCCCATAAATATATGTGTATGGGATAATATCCCCAGATGTGATGGCTCCCCATAAATATATGTGTATGGTATAATATCCCCAGATGTGATGGCCAATCAAGAGATACTATTGTAGGTATATGGTGTTCCTCTGTGTCTTCCTGTTTGATCCATACACAGTCCAGAACACCAGACCGGCCATTAAATCACACTGTGACTAGACAATGGAACACTGCCTCTCTTTAGTTACAATGGATAACTTCACAAGGCGGAAAAGGAACAGACTTATATCTCCCAGCCTCAAAACATCTCCAAACTCTAGGCCTTAATAGCATCTTCAAGGCCATAGCCTCAGTATCATTTCCTTAGTCTGAGACTGTAGCATCTTCAAGGTCATGGCTTCAATATCATCTCCTAAGTTTGACACTCTTTTTCAATTACAAGGTAATTGCCACAATTTCTTCTCCTTAATCTGAGCCTATATCCTATTCAAGGTCATAGCCTCAATATCATCTCCGAAGTCTAACCCACTTGTTCATCTACAAGGTCACAGCCTCAATATCAATTCCAAAGTTTGAGCCTTTATATCAACCTCAAGGTCATAACCCTCAACATCATTTCTGAAGTGCAACCCTTTTTTTCCAAGGTCAGATTCTCAATATCACCTCCAAAGTTTGAGCTCCTTTATCATCTACAAGGCCTAGGCCTCTATATCACCCCGACGTTTAAACTTCTATATCATCTACAAGGTCATATTCTCAATCTTATCTCCAAAGTTTCTGCCTGTACATCAATAACCCATTATCCCCTAAAGTCACATTTGAACCCTACCACATCTTAGACTGGGCAAGTCCAGTTTAGATATGTAGGGGTGAATGAGTTAAAATGTCCACAGCCTCAATATTATCTCCAATGTCTGACCCTCAAAATCAACTACAAGGTCACTGTCTCAGTATCAATATCAAAGTCGAATTCTTATATCATTTACAAGGTCACAATCTCAATACCTCTGTATCATCTCTGAAGTTCAAGCCATCAACTAGGTCATAGCCTCAATATCAACTCCAAAGTTCAAGCCATCTACTAGGTCATAGCCTCAATACTATCTCCAAAGTTCAAGCCATCTACTAGGTCATAGCCTCAATATCATATCCAAAGTTTAAGCAATTAACTAGGTCATATCCTCAATATCATCTCCAAAGTTTAAGCCATCTACTAGGTCATATACCCTCAATATCATCTCCAAAGTTTAAGCCATCTAATAGGTCATATACCCTCAATATCATCTCCAAAGTTTAAGCCATCACCTAGGTCATAGCCTCAATATTATCTCCAAAGTTCAAGCCATCTACAAGGTTATATCCTCAATATCATCTCCAAAATGTTAGCCATCTACTAGGTCATAGCCTCAATGTCATCTCCAAAGTTTAAGCCATCTACAAGCCCAAAGCCTCAATATCATCTCCAAAGTTCAAGCCATCAACTACATGTAGGTCATAGCCTCAATATCATATCCAAAGTTCAAGCCATCAACTACATGTAGGTCATAGTCTCCATACCATCTCCAAAGGTCAAGCCATCTACTAGGTCATAGCCTCGATATCATCTCCAAAGTGCAAGCCATCTACAAGCCCATAGCCTCAATATCATCTCTAAAGTTCAAACTACCTAAAAATTCATATCCTCATTAATATGTCATACTTCAATGTTACCATCATCGCTTTTCCATGGATTTCCTGCTGACCCATTAACCTCTAAACTTCACTGTATAAATACCTAGTCATATACTACCTATATTTCCCTTTTTGGAATAACATCATAGGATTGTACTTCAAATAGGACATTACAACAAGACAAAGCGTTATCAACCTCAAAAAGTACCTTACATGACATAGCATTATCTACCTCAAAAAGTACCTTACAAGACAAAGCATTATCAGCCTCAAAAAGTCCCTTACAAGACAAAGCATTATCTACCTCAAAAAGTACCTTAAAGGTCAAAGCATTATCAACCTCAAAAAGCACCTTACAAGACAAAGCATTATCTACCTCAAAAAGTACCTTACAAGACATAGCTTTATCTACCTCAAAAAGGACCTTAAAGGACAAAGCATTATCAACCTCAAAAAGTACATTACAAGACAAAGCATTATCAACCTCAAAGAGTACCTCACAAGACAAAGCATTATCTACCTCAAAAAGTACCTTACAAGACAAAGCATTATCAACCTCAAAAAGTACCTTACAAGACATAGCTTTATCTACCTCAAAAAGTACCTTAAAGGACGAAGCATTATCAACCTGAAAAAGTACCTTACAAGACATAGCTTTATCTACCTCAAAAAGGACCTTAAAGGACAAAGCATTATCATCCTCAAAAAGTACCGTAAATGACAAAGCGTTATCAACCTCAAAAATAACCTCAAAAGACAAAGCATTATAAACCTCAAAAAGTACCTGAAAGGACAAAGCATTATCATCCTCAAAAAGTACCGTAAATGACAAAGCGTTATCAACCTCAAAAGTACCTTACAAGGCAAAGCATTATCGCCCTCAAAAAGTACCTGAAAGGACAAAGCATTATCTTCCTCAAAAAGTACCTTGCAGGACAAAGCATTATCTTCCTCAAAAAGTACCGTAAATGACAAAGCGTTATCAACCTCAAAAATAACCTCAAAAGACAAAGCATTATCAGCCTCAAAAA